CTTTATTAACTTTAGAATAAAGACATCTGGAAAATAATTTGCTAGACTTGTGTAGTTGCGATTGTGTTCCGATTTCGCATCTACATTCTACCGCTTCATTTCTCTGCACTACCCTATGGTTGAGTGTTAGAGAATGCGTTAAGCCATTAAGTCTGCCATTCACTGTAATTTTATGTGAAAATAAATAAAAATAATTAAATTGGTAACTAATACCGTATCCTCTACACTCCTTTGTGATTACTAAAATACGTGTTAGTTGTTTGAGCATGAAGATAAGTAAAAAATGCACTTATTGTTCATACGATACAAGGGAATTGTAGTAAGTATTACAGCAAAAAATCTAAATTGCCATGGAAAATCGCTATTTATATTGTATATATATAAATAGTCCAGTTACCTTTCAATTTCGTTGAATAAGCAATATTTCTAATAAAAATTCTGCTCTCATGTCTTTAGGGTCTATAATGTATGGAAGAGAGGTAGGACATCGAAGGGCGACCACAAAAAAAAGATGGCTAGGTTGTGGAAATTGGTAAGAAAGGATGTGGTAATTGTATGACATATGAGAGGGAAGAACAGAAAAAGAAGGTATTCTGTACGCACACATTGGCTTGGATCAAGGGCAGGAAAAGATATTCACAATCGAAGACAAATTACATTATAGCCACATAAAGTACGTTTCCCACGTTTAAGTCTTTAGTCTGACCTGGTCGAAAATGTTTTACTACAGGAACATACCCGAACAATGACCTAACGTGTGGTAGAAATCATATCTAATAAATTGCCTGCCTACCTTTATCGAATCCAATAGCGACAGTTAACCAAGTTGCTTAGTTAAGTTGTTGCTACTGCGTGTTCGGTAGGCGCAAGCGCCGACAGTTACTTGTAACATTTTGTAAATGGATTTCTTCTTACCATTCCTTATCTAGTTATAGGTACAACAGTTTAACTAACTATAGTCAGGGTTGTTACTCAAGACAGCAAAAGAAAGTAACGCTAAATACAATAACAAATACGTACAGAATTGAATAAGTAAATAAATAGTTCCAATTTCATGTTATGAGGATTTAACCAGCTAACTGGCATTGAATCGACTGGAAAACCGCCCTATAACTGCAAAATAAACTCCGAATACTAGGTCAATACGCCAATCCAACTGAAAATAATAATATTTGTGACATTCAATATTCAATGAAGCTATTAACGGCTCACTGGGGTGAAAATAAACCAGTTATCTCGATAAAACAAACCGAAAATAGCAAGATTGCTCCATCTGATAAAATAATCCGTATCTTAAACTCAATAATAAACTTAATGGCTGTGTACTTACGTACCTATTTGCAATGTTGACGTCACAATCGGTGTATCATTTCTTGGAAAATTCTAATCAATATGAATATCAAGAAAATGAACTTGGTCTAGACATTTTTGAGTACTTCTGTACTGAATGGTTTGTTAGTCATGTGCCTTATTTGGTGTCAATCAAAATGTAATATATGCTATATAAATATAATAGTGTGATCTAATTTAAATGAGTTTGAACAATATTTGTGATTGATAAGTATCTATCGCCTGGCCTTTAGTATTAAAATCTTCCTAAGCTATGTTACTCAAACCCTAAAGCCTAATCTTAACACTAAAAGCCGTTTTATAAAACGATAGTTTTCCGTGCAGTAAAAGCTACGTGTAAAGTTAAATGACTACAATAAAAGTATATTATTAACAGGTTGTCAACTGAAGTACCGAAGAAGGGACTCCCCTGAGTTACTCGCAAAATATGAATTATAATAAAATAAAAACTGCGTTTAAAAAACCGACTTCAAAAAACCAAAAACGAATAACAAACAAAAAGTCAAAACTAAAAAGCAATAAATAACTATTATTAGTACTGATAGGTTACCCACCCACTGATAGGTTAGAAGTCGGTGCCATAAGCTCATATCGTAATGATATAACTTAATGCCCACAAAATTGTGAATTAGGTACCTATTTAGGTTTTAATCAATAATTTTGTATGGAACACCATAACGTGTCGCGCAGAACCTAACGGGTAACCGGGGCTCCGGCTCGACGTGCAGGAGTAGGAACGGGGTGGTTTTTAGTCAGTAAGAGTTTGACACTCCCTCCCGCCTCACCCAGGCGGGAGTAGCCATTCGATGATTTTCCCCCCTTAAAAAAAAACACCATGACGTAATGATAAAACAAAATCTTCAAGGCCCGAGTGAATATGTTGCTTATGGGCAGACGTGCTCCATCGCAGGCCGCATCATCGCTCACCACCAGGCGAGATAAAGGACAAACGTCAGCCCATCAAATAAAAAAAATAAATAGAATAACATTTTCTATAAAGAAGATTATCTGTAATTAAAAAATAAAGATTAAAAAAATACCACTCTCAATTTTGAAATAAAATCTGATAGAAGTTACTTATATTACAGTTCGAATAAGAAAAATATTTATTTTGAAAACATCGGAAGTAGATCCGTTCCGTGCGAATGAGGATACGGAAATTAATTAGTTAACACTGGTGGTGAACACCCTAGTTTATTATTAGGCTATCGTTTTATCAAAATACAATAGGAAATGGTTTCTTTAATTAGTAATTTTAGTGATATAATAATAGAACACAAAATAGTACATGAATTTACTTGTTCTATAAATTAACACAACATTACGCCTTTTATCCCCGAAGGGGTAGGCAGAGGTGCACAATACAGCACTTAAACTGTCAAACACCAAGCGGTCACCGGTGACCGCAACCTATTGTTCTATAATTGTGTCTACAAAACCGGTACTCCACTGTACTTACAATGTAACACCGACTTTTCACATTTATGTTATGAGTCCCATGTAATAGAAGGTGAGCCTATTGCCATTTATCGGGCACAATTCCAGACTCCGTGCTACTACTGAGAGTTTATTTAAAATACCCAATAATACTGTGCCCGACCCGGGAATCAAACCCAAGACCCGGCAGTCGCAGTTGCCACCGCTCGGGCAACGAGGCAGTTAATAGAACACAAAATAGTACATGAATTTACTTGTTCTACAAATTACTCATTGTCTATTCAAATATTGCGTGATGTTGTGTAATTCATAGTAATATTAGTTCGTGTGTCTGTTATGAAATTAATATTGTGTACCTATAGGTACACTTAACTAACTTATTTTATTCTCTATCTGTTTTTGTTTCTTGAAAATATTTTTTTAGGTACAAAAGATTTGAATGTAGATCAAGATTTAGACACTAGAAAATGTAATTGAAAGAAATACCAATCGAAACGTAATTTCGCCGAAATAGATTTTTTCAGCCTTCACAACAAAGACGAAAATCTTACAGCCCGAATAAAAACGAAAACGTGGAAAAGAATAAGATTTCATTCAGAATGTCCCGTTTAACACAATAGTCACAATACATACATACCTAAAAACCTAACAAAACAAACATTTGATTGCAAATTGCAAACTTTACGACGAAACAATCACTAACTAATAACTTAAAATAAATCGTCTATGTCTGTCAATCGCAGCGGTTGGTCGGCGACTGCATTGTAGATAACCTCGTCTTATCATACTTGTTTACTTAACAGGCTAACGCTGACTCTCGGTATAAAACGACCATGTCGCTTTCTTGACGTGAACTGTGACGTCATGGAGAAAAAATTACGATTCTACAATTTCCATAATGAAAAAGAAAAGAACCTTTATTTTCGATTTTGATCATAAATTTGATTTAAAAATACTTCTGAATAAGATTTAAGTAAATGCCAAAAAAGAGTGCGGTTTAAATCAGATTTGCGGATCACGATCGACGGAAAATGTTGTAACCCCTAAAAGCTTTTCAATTGTCGAAATGCTTACGCGATGTCCATAATTTTATGAAAGCGGAATCGGATTTTTTTAATGCCCGATTTCAAAAGAACTTGATTGTGAATTGAATTATTTTTTGGTTGAAAACATTAGAGAATTGTTCAAATGAGCAGGATTTTTTATGTTCTTTGTGAAGTGTAAATTAAAATGACGATGTGATTACAATATTAATAAAATGTTCAATAATATGGACACTAACCCAATTCACAAACGTACAAAATGTTACAAAGTAGTCGATATTTACTCCGTCATTGAACTCCGAGGTGGTTACACAGCTGACTTTAAATAAAGTTACACTGAGCTATTTCAGTGGCTGATGGATAATCAATAACCGTACATTTTTAATCCAGTGCCATCGGCCTCTCAATGACACGCATCCTTCTAACTTTGAACTTATTTCAATGAACTTACAACTTGACATAATGAACTAAAGGTATTCAGATAGTATGTTAGGTCGATCAAAGGGCGTATCTCGACATGTTCAACCATTTTATTTTGTTTCGCTCCAGTCTCAACCTACGATTACGTATGCAAGACGAAAATTTCGTTTTATTGGCTCGTGTCCAAAATGTTGCGTTTTGCTTTGATTCTGTTACTATTTATACGACTGTTCATGTTGTTATCGTGTGATATCTACGCGTTGTTTACTTGACGTATGTAGGTACTTAGTTTTCGTGAAAATTTCGTTTTTATTTCTTTTGGTTTAATTATCATTTAGCGACAAATCTATCAGATTTTGCTTTGTAGTTTAGTCATCTTAAAGTAATAGGTTCTACGTTTTATAGCAAATGCCTAATTAACAGCAAATAAGTTTTCGAATCTCACTGTTTTTTATTTGAAATTGATATTGTAAAATTTGGTCTATTGTACCGGCGCGCTGGCCTCACGGTCAAATAAACAATGGAAGTGTGACAGTGTTGGGGCGCGCTATCGCATTTTCCGGAGGCTGGCGAGCTTGCGGCGGCGGGCGGCAGTGCCGGCGGCGCGCGCGCACCGAAAGCATGTGCCCCGCGCCAACAGTGCGATGTACATAGAACCGGCCGCGTTTCGCGCACCCAGCGCGGAGTCCCTCGCCGTCTCCGACCCGTCGCCTATTTGGACGCAGTGCTTACCCTCTCCGTTATTCGCAGGCAAAAAAGCGCCCCTCAAAACATTCGAGGAGATCCAGCCCCTCATCCAACAGGGCCGCAAGCGCGAGCTCAAGCTACTCATCAGAGAAAACTCCTGGCCAATCAACAGCCCCGTCCGCGCCTCCCTCTGGCCAGCTCTCTGCAGACAACATCAACATGGAAAGTCTATGCTTGATGGATTCTACTGGGACATGGTTACACAGGTCAGTGCTCTTTCAAATTACGCAACGCGACAGCGATAGGTTTTTTTTTCCAAGGTGTGCGACCAACTTCACTAACTTGTTTTGCACGAAAGAAATTCGTTTTGAACTCGCAAGGTAACGTGCGCCCGCTGAGAGCGTTATCTCGCGAAACCGGCAAACGCTTAATATTTACAAGGTCATGTCTATTTACTTAGTACAATACCTCCTAAAAATTAGGTAGATATCGCGCCCCCAGATAAGGTGATGTCCCCTCCAAGGTCTCGGAATTTTCGGTGCGTTTTTGTACAAGTGCTCTCTATAGATTCATTAACAAGTAACGTGTACACTAGCGAGCACTTCGAAATTCAAGTCAGGTGACTGTTGACCACAAAGCATACTCACACAGGCGCAAGACGTCCTTGTAGCTGAAATATGCGTGAAGTCGTCATAAAAAGCCAATCTGTCCACCGAGGCCGAATATAAGTATTATGTGGAACAGCCTGTGTAGTGTGTACGTCTGTTTAGTTGTTTTCAAGTCGTAGGCTTGTCTATCATCGAGCGGGTCCTTGTGTACGACATCAACGTGCGCTCGCGCATCCTCGCGTCACAATGGGAGCTATCGCGCATCTTAATTAACCGCCACCGGCCTAACAATGGCAGACTAATTATACGACAGGTGGCTGTAGCTAACGAATACAAGCACGGTGAATTTATGACTTGTTTTTAACTTGTTGTGACATTTATAACTAATGCTTTATGTAAACTGGTAAATAAGAAAATACGTATATAGATTTTTACTGAAATGGTTTTGTGTACGAATTGCACGAACAGCATCATTAATATGCACGTAGCTAAGAGATTGGCAAGACATCAAGTTAGCTCGCTCACCTTCGCCGCTGCGCACGCGTCGGTACCCCACATGCACAAACACCGTATGTGGGTGTGTTTAATAACGATTGCATTGTAAGAGCTTTCCAGATTGTATGGACGCTTTAACGTGATAAATTAACACAATTAATTATGTTCTATGCTCTCTTTGATTTGTAATATATAATAATATTGTAATGTTTGATATAGTTAAATCTCACATCCGTATTCTAAACACCTCTGTCTGTAGTCTCATCACGTTTTAATATTTAGTCTAAAATGTATGTCAAATACATGAAGTAGTTTTAATAATATTGTAATACTTTGTTATTTGTTTTATAATGTCCATAGTGTGATCTAAATGTGTGGCTAATTACATATTTATTGATCAAGTCGTCAGTGGCAAGGATAAACGAAACTATGTTTGATTTTAGTGAAGTGTGAGAAGTTAATATTTAATGAGTAAAAATACTATATTCATATCTATCTTACCTCTATAAGACGTAGAAGCAGCCAAAATATAGAAAATGGATAATTAGGAAAATCAAATATTTCCTTGCAATTACTGTGCAATGCTGTTTCATAACGTCCAAATAATAAGAAATTGCAGTATAGTGAGATAAGGATTACATGACTATAAGTATTGATTTATACATGGTATACCAATTAATCCATTACTGTATTTGTATCAGTAATTTGTTATTCTTAACATCCTGTTCTTCATTCATATGATATGACAAATAGATAGTTCTAAACAAACTCATCAATGAAAGTCCAAAAACGACGCGTGCCCAACTTGGAAGGGAGCCACATATTTATGTAATTACTTATCTCTTCATGTATTTGTGTTTACATTGGCACCCACAACAGTTTTTTTCCTAGGAAGCACTACATAAAACTCCCGTACAATAACACTTTCTTTAACTCTCAGCAATTTCCGAGAAATTTTTGTTTTGGTCCAACATGGTCCAATTTATGTCCAGTGTCAAATGTGTACTCTTAATAAAACTTGTGTCAATGGCAATGTAAGTAAATAGGATGACTCATTGGGACGTCCACGTGCCATCCAAGGTGACGAACAAAGTGTTCCGGTTTTCCGAGAAACGGGGGAGGCATTCCATGCCGAACATCTTAGTGTACGAACATGTTTTGTTATCTCCGTTCAGAATACTTGGCAGAAGTAACACCGTTTATTCATTGTAGGAAATCATATGCATTGTTTATTGGTCATCAAAATTTGGTTTACCATAAGTAAATCAGTTCCGTTGCAGTTGCCAATTTGGAAAGTTTTCGATAATATATTCATCAGCTCCTTTTTCTTCCCTTGATGGACATACGTATGCCTTACCAATAGCAGGCTACTGACTTCGCTTTTTAGCTCGTCGTATCCAACCACTGCCTTCCCAAACTTTTTGTCTACCTATACCACCTTGCTATAAGCCGGCTATCCACTTTTAGAAAGACTACTCCTAAGGTATTTCCGAAGGGTCCACTATATTAATTCAAGTCGACATAGAAAGTTGCCACGATGATTCACCGGGAGAAGTACGTGTCATCCAAGGTTTAATTGAAGTGTGTTTCTCCGAACCCGGGGAGGCTTTCTATACACATAACAGTACATTAGTTGATGTATTTGTGGTTGTTAACTCAGAATTGGAACATTTGGCAATTGCTACACTGTTTGTGCGTTGGCGTTGGTGCTAGGAAAATTTCTGGGCATTTTGCTTCTCTATTGATCAAAACGATTGGTATTAGTCATGTTTAGACTTGGTAGTTTGTTTCTAAGACAGGTATCTAAGACAAACTTGATCGTTTTATATTATTCCCTTTTATTGTGATGCGATGAAGGTGTCAACTATGGCAAGGGTCTGAACTCTGAACGTTCCTATAGTTTAAAATCAATAGTGTCCTATAGGAACTTCTGAATGAATGAATACAATGAAGGTAGGTTACTTTAATTGCTTTATTTAATTACACAGAACAATTTAAAACCAACTAGACAGAATTGAATACAATTCACAAAAGGAAATCTATTGCAAAATAGCTATTGTGCTGTTAAACTGTCTGCGGTTACAGTACTGTTAGATACTACTGAATCGCATTGACCGCAAGTTGCTGTTCGCACCCATCAAGTTCAGCTATTCGAATCAACAAAATTCTCAACTAAGGTTGCCTGCCAAATATGTGATGCATGCAACAATATGCAGCAGTCATAAAAGCGTGACGTAGAGCCATATAGTTTGCCATTTTAGCGTTGTGGAATATAAGGCCAAGTATTACAATATATCAACGCATTTCTCTGAAGGAGCTTACAAAGGGACAGCTTATAATTAGACGTTACGGTATTGCCGTAGCGTGCGCTAGTGTTTAGGTATCCGTGAAATTCATTCGAGGGTCATTCGCAGGAACTCGTCGTGTGAACTCTGGTGCAGTGCCAACGACATACGCGCCTTGACCTCGCAATCCGTCACACGCTGTCACTCACCGATAACGGTGGATTTACAACGATATCGCTACCCATCATGCTATAAGTGCGAGTGGGACGGAGAAAGCCGATGAAAGTGACCGAATGTCTTGCTTTCTGGTCTTCATGACCTAGACATTATACTTTGATGTGACTATCTGATTGTAAACAGAGATATTTATGGACGAATTGGTATGAAGAGAAATTCTAATGCTGTGCCATGACATTTTCTTTGCCAATTGCCATAATTTGATGAAATGTAATAGGTAACGACAGATTTTCGCATGACTGACTATATGCCTTTGTTTCGTACCCCGGAGTTCTAAGTGCCTATTTCGTTAAATAAATCTGACTTGTTGAGCTGTCTAGCAACCGAGCACTCTAAATACGAGCGCTGCTCAGACGTCCCGCGTCATGTCGTAATCTCATTACTCCAAATCCGATTATGACGGTCGAAAGCCCAACGTCCCGCCATTTCATATTAAAATACAAGTCTAATTAAATCTCAGAGGGCTCAGTTTTACATATTTTCCCAAAAGTAACCGTTGATTTGCGAAAACCCGCTGAATAAAGTTAGGGAGATCATCCCTTCTTTATTTAACCATCTTAGGGCTTTAAAAGCAGTTTCCTTTAATCAGTAAAAATGTTTCACGTCTACTATACCTTATGAAGGCGGCTTAGCTAAATTAATTTGCATTGTTTAATCTTAATTATGTTTTGTTGTAGTCGGTCAGATTATATTCGGCGTGATTAATTATGATAAACATCACGGCAATACATTGGTGGAATTAATTTTATCTCCCTGTTGTTTGGACTATAGTATGATTAGGCATTTTTGTTAAGTTGTACGCTGAAGTGACCCCCTCTTGGCTTTGTGGTTCCTCTGTTTACATGTAGAGGTAAAGTCATGTGCGTGCCGATTAAAACGCCTGATTAATAACTACTGATAAGCAGGCGTGTCAAAACTATCCACAATGCTAGAACGCGTTTTATTTTCTACGTCTTTTATGGCGTTTTATTGTTATTTTCGTCTTTTTACTGTTGTTATGTTTTTGCTATCTTTGTCCTTCAGTAACAAATTTTTAACCATTATTGTTAACGTTTCATCGTTGTGTTGTTACAATATAGTTAAATACTAATCTTTATTGATTTGGAATAGTTTTCCATTTAATTGCTCCGTTCTGATTTAATGTGACATAAAATCATTTCGTACCGATAATTGATATACTTACATAGGTAAAGCCGCGCGCGCGATGGCTGGGAGCCAAGTCTTAAAATAGACAAGCACCATTTTGTTTTCCCACCTTCTGCTACTTGCATTGTGGTCACGTGAGCAGAACATCAATATTTTATTAAACTTCATACAACTGATGTATTTTCAATCTGAGTTCATGTTTAAAAGAACAATGACTTAGGAAAAAACACGAGACATGAATACATAAGTAGACTCGCGGATGTTGTTACGCATAAAGAGGAAAATGTTTGTGACGCTGAAATAATAAGTACAAAGTTAAGATTGAACAACAAAAGAAAGAAAGAAAGAAACATACTAGCTCTAACAAAAACAGCTTCAAAAACATGTGAAAACAAGTTGTATTACACGCTTGAGAGGGCACGTCCTTGTGCGCGAGTCAGCTGATCTGACCGCCGAACCAGAGAATATCACTGGTTATGACTAAGCCAAATTGTT